TTAGTACGCGGAGCAATCTGTAGAGCTGGAAGCTGAGAACTGGCGACTTTGTAGTACAACTTTAGTACGCGGAGTATCTGTGGAGCTGGATGGTGAGAACTGGCGACTTTCTAGTGCGTGCGTTTGACTGGAGGACGCGCATGTTGGAGAGAGCGTGGACACTCCTATAGGTCAATTTCTTCTTATAGGAAACTTCCACCGCCGGCTTGCCCGGGAACTACTTGTATCCTTCTCGTCATAATCACTCGTTCTCTTTGTTTCACTGCCATTCTCTGCCTTCGCACTTTTCCATTCTCTGCCATATAATTCTCAAAAGTCTTTCTGAGCACATTTAGCAGGCCGTGTGCTTGGCACACCCAATAAGATCCTGGCAAAGCAACTCCATAGCACATCAGGTCGCGGGAGACCTCCCTCCTCAGCCACCAAGGTTGCTGTCGGGTTCAATCGGGGTCTGTCTTCTAAGTTCGTGTTGTTGTCTACATGCATGAATCCTATGCTCGCACCAGCGTGCGATGAGTCCTGTTTGTTGCGCTGCATTGGGGCCTTGACGGAGAGGATTCAGAACCTGCACATTCCAGCATCTCCAGAGTAGCCTTCCCACGTCGAAGAGACATGCTACGAGACACAGTTGAGACTCTGCAAAAGAAGCAACAGCTTGATCGGAAGGAACAATTATTGGTCCTACTGTACTGCGTGTATGTTCTGGCAGTTTGTACTGCAAAGCACTGAAACCTACTGCGTCAGTCGCAACCCATGTGGGTGTGAGGATCCCAGATCTGCAACTTCACCTTCCTTCGTCCCACTTTCATGTCCCCTTCGACTTATAGATACAAAGAACGCATATGACACAAACGGAAAAATGACAATGATGTAAGGTGGCTCTTAAGCCTCTTGCCTAATGGCCACAACAGTGCGCAACAAATACGACGGTCTCACACATCGAAAATGCGCAACACTGCCTCCCACGCACCAGCGCTCGCCTCAAGCAGCCCGGCACCAAATGGAACAAGAGTCCAGTGCGAGTGTGAGTCGTTTGTGAGAACAAAGAGAAGGAAAAAGGAAGGTAAAGGGGCCCTTGAATAAGGCCTCCTTTAAAGGAGCCTTGCTAAAGGGGCCCTTACCGCCTTCCTTTCTTTCCTCTTGAGGTTTGAGCACCAAACACAGGCCATCATGCCAATATGCCAGGATTCGGCGTTGGCCACCTGAAGCCTCACAAGGATGCCACTGTCACAAAGTCGATTAAAAACGTTCACAGTCAAGAATCAGTAACAAGTGGATCGCTACTAGTAGCAAAGGGCATCATTACTAGTAAAAAGAAGCTACTAGTAAGATTGAATCATGTATGATTTGTCACTTCCCTGTTGATTGGGGACAATACAACAAGTGTAATCAAGGATGAAAACTCCCCAATCACTGGACCTTCGTCTACACTGACTTTGTGACACCCACATTGCTCAGATCATTAACAATCTGTTGAACATGTTTGGCCACGTGGTGAACATGCGTGTATGCCTGCAAGCTGAACCAAAATACTGACTGACAACGGCCAGAAACACGTGCGAAGAAAACAAAAAATCGCACGGGCTCACAGCGCTGGATCTGTCAAAAGAAGCCAAAGCAATCATGATTTCAACAGACCTTCTCCAAGGCGAGTACCCAACGCTTATGATAGTGACAAAAAACAAGTTCGTAACACATGGATGATATGGAAAGTCAGACTACTCGCCCTTGTACCAAGAGTGGACCTCTTTTCATGGACTCAACTGCGATACACATCTGTCTATACCAGTGTCTGAACACACCAGGATATAGTATGACAAATGTAAATCTTCTCAATCTCATCGTGTAGGTCTGCGGCGCTTGGGCGACTGCCAAGAACGCTAGCGCCTGCAAGACTTAAAGATGTGCAAAGACGCACGGCCATTTACAGCAGGGGCACTTGGCTCGGTACCTGCTCCCATTCTCCGTTGCGACTGCAGGCCAAAGAGGCGGCCTCGGCACTTGGATCGTTTGAATTCATTCTTGTGAGATGCTAAGAGTTCAGTAGGAATATATGGGAATAGATGTCCAGGGTATGCCACCAAACGATATCAAGGAAGTCATGGGTAGAAAAGGAAAAACCTTTGCACACGGAACAGCCATTCGATGCGACCATACAGCCTGATACGTCTCGAAATCAGGGCTGATGTCAATCGAAGGCATGCTCTCCAGCCTGCCCGAAGCAGCTAACACGACAGTGGCCCCTGGGGTTTTTGAGGACGTCATCGTTCTCCGCATTCAAAAACAAAGAAGCCAAAGTGTGCAAAAGTTTAAGAATTCACGTCTAGGCCCTGATATATATATATATATAAGAATTCGCTAAATTCTAGGGAACCCAACAAAACCAAAGAGCGCTCCCACTGCTGTGCGCGACCACAGGCCTGTCACCAGCAAGGCTTCATGGCTCAAACGTTGGCATCAAGAGTCCAACAAATACACTTCGACTGCCGGTGTCCACGCATTAAGCTGTTTCCACTACGTTTACTGCGATGCTTGCCGGTCCACTGAACAATTCCTCTGCAGTTCCCGGTGTTAAGGTCAGAACAGCAATGGCAACATTGTAGGTTACGACATCTTGCTCCACCTGAGGCTGGTGGAATGGTTGCCTTGACTTGCAAGGGACTTAGTGACTGATTCGAAGAGCATTCTGCGGCGAACTCTTTTCCAGTGGAGCTCTCAGCGTATCTCAAGTAGCCCCAATCGGCCGTACCTGCTGCATTTTGTGCCCTCATGTCAGGGCGAGCACCTCTTGCATGCAACAATTGCATGATGTCAATATGGTCACCAGCACGATAGGCATAGTAAAAAGGTGTGCAGCCGTCCAGCGAAAGGGCCTCCACCCGGGCTCCATGGTCCAACAGTGTGCGGCAGGTCTCTACACTGCGGCCAGTGGCCGCATAGTGTAAGGCTGTCCATCCATTCCCAGAAGCCCCGGCCTGTGCATTGACATCGGCCTTCGCCGCCAACAAGGCTTGGCAGAGTCGAGGGATCCCAAGTTGCGCTGCCCGCATCAAGGGCGTCCGCCCAGCGCAGTCTGGCTCTGCCAGCCTTTCCGGATAAATGAGCATCACCTCGAAGATCTGGATGGTCTTTTCAAAAGACCTCAAAATTGAAAAGCAGTCTAAAGGGTTGGCGTAAGAAACGTCTCATTTAGATGTTCCAAAACGAGCTGCTGTGAGTAAAGGGTCATAAACGTCAAGTCGAGGCACACTCCATCAGATATGCTCGGTAGAAGAGCCGTGTGAACAGCACGTCTGGATGATATGAAGAAGTCCAACAACGATCGGCGCATGTGTCGGTCGACGGCACGAAGGCGCCACAGCTTTGGAAGATCAAGGCAAGAGGAGATAGCCAGACCTGCTGCCTCCAACACATGCTGGGCCAGGCTGTGATCTGGTCCTTCATGGTTTCAGGTAAATCACTCCACAGCCCTGGCTGTTTCAATGCAACATCTACTTTGCTTTTGTTGTTTTGTGTATAGTGGCCAGCTGGCGGCTTGTGGTGTGTGCTGGGGGGGGTGCCATCATTGCAAAGCCTGCTGAAGCAGAGGGTCACGACTTGAGATTGAGATGCTTCCCTTCTTTCTACCATACCTCCTGTGTTTGTGCTTCATTGTTCATTTTCAGAGTTCGAACCAATTCCTCAACTAGCCTCAGCTTTTGTGTGGCTAGGCAGCTGGCAAAAACTTCTGCTCATGTGTCTGTCAAGTGTGTGCTGATGAACATCAATGGGGGGCAAAGCCTAACACAGTGATACATTCACTTAACACCATCCCAAAGTCCTGCTCTTGAGACAGACTCTGTGCAGGTCTTTCCTGTCAGCTGCTCACAAACCTTGGAAGTCACAAATCCTCATACAAGTATGTATATATATATAATGTATTATAGACAATATGTGTATACAAAATGCGGAGACATGACAGCAAAACCGAAGCCCCCCATCTGCACTGTGAGCCGCACACGTCCGCTCCACAGGCGCACAGCAGAGGCAACCAGAAGGAGCCAGCAAGAACCAAGTCCTGCAGGGCAATGACACAGCCATCAGGTGATGAACTTGCTACTAGTAGCGATGACTTGTTACTAGTAGCGATGCACTTGCTCCTAGGGTTGAAATGAACACGAATAAAGTCAACAAAGTATAGCCTGGCCATTGAAGGAAGCGTATGCACAGATCCACTGCAGATGCAGCCACGGAAGACATGGGGAGCTGCATGAGAAGCTTGTTCAACTGCTCTTGCACGGCGGCTCATAGACAAAAGACTCTTAAAAAGGTGCTAAACAAATCTATTGCCTATGGTCGCTTGTAGGTTCTGAACGACCCAATTCAAGCCCTTGTGGCTCTGATCCAAAGATACGCTGCTGGAAACAGTGAAGCATCCACGGATCCAATCTCTCAGGTAAGCGACCAAAACTAGTAAAAATGATGACTCAATTGATTCAAAAAAATAAAATTAAAGAAGCGATGGCCTCCAACCCAGTAGCGATGGCCTCCAACCTAATAGCGATGGCCTCCAACCTAATATATAGCGCTGGCCTCCAACCTAACAGCGATGGCCTCCAACCTAATAGCGATGGCCTCCAACCTAATATATAGCGCTGGCCTCCAACCTAACAGCGATGGCCTCCAACCTAATAGCGATGGCCTCCAACCTACTAGCGATGGCCTCCAACCTACTTGTGGTGGCCTCCAACCTAATAGCGATGGCCTCCAACCGAATAGCGATGGCGTCCGACCTAATAGTGATGGCCTCCAACCCAATAGCGACGGCCTCCAACCTAATAGCGATGGCCTCCAACCGAATAGCGAGGCCCCCAACCGAACAGCAATGGCCTCCGACGGCCTCCAACCTAATAGTGATGGCCTTTAACCTAGTAGCCATGGCCTCCAACCTAATAGCAATGGCCTCCAACCTAATAGCAATGGCCTCCAACCCAGTAGCGATGGCCTCCAACCTAGTAGCCGACCATAGTAGCGATGGCCTCCAACCCAACAGAGATGGCCTCCAACCTAATAGCGATGGCCTCCAACCTACTATCCGACCTAATAGCGATGGCCTCTAACCGAATAGCGATGGCCTCCAACCTAAAAGCGGTGGCCTCCAACCTAATAGCCATGGCCTCCGACCATAGTAGCGACGGCCTCCAACCTAATAGTGATGGCCTCCAACCTAATAGCGATGGCCTCCAACCTAGTAGCGATGGCCTCCAACCTAATAGCGATGGCCTCCAACCGAGTAGGGATGGCCTCCAACCTAATAGGGATGGCCTCCAACCTAATAGCGATGCTGATTAAAGTGCCCCAGTGGCTGAGACAATGGCACTTCTGTCCCGCATTTCACCAAGCAAGCTGAGAGCCTAGGTTGGTCGAAGCACATCAGTGGGGTGAGTCATACAGGTAAGCAACTCGCTCACTTGATATAGACCACAAAACCTGGCCACAAACCAAGCAAACTATGGATGATACACCTTGGCTACATCAACCACCTATGTAAAGCGTCTGTGTGGTTAACAACTTCCACCCATGCTGACGCAAGACAGCAATGGCCGGGACAAGTCTGCTGAGAAGTTATACAATATTGTATTGGTTCATGAACTGTCTGTGTGCCTGTGTATACCCACCTGCCCTAGCATCTTACTCCTCCCCAGACCCTGCTGCAAATTCAATGCTTTCCTAGCTTTTCTTGACACCGCACATGCGCAAACCGGCCCTGAGAATTTTCAACTGGCATTTCGGAAATTCCATTGAGGTGGCTACCCAGGGCCAGTGGTGGCCATGCTCACCTCGCACCAGATTCCAAAAAGAAAAAACATGAAGGCTGCCGACAGAAAACAAACCTCTAAAGGTCAGGAAAAGAAATGAAACAAAGCAAGAGGAAAAAGCAGGGCGAGAAGAAGCGGAAGCAGAAGGGATAAATGAATAACTGAGATAGAAAAAGGAGAGAAAAGAACAAAACTCCGACATGGCTAGGACGGCTAGGATGAACGGAACTTGGGATGGTTTCCCATGAGCAGGGATGTTTCACGTGCAAAAGTCCTTGCGAAGCACTGGATTTCGGACAGGCTGCTAGTCTCAGCCAGAGCCAGTCTTGGTCTTTGCTTGTATCCAGATATGTCCCTAGGTTCTGGATCAGAACCTATTATTGGCTTTCCCAGCAACGGAGAACGTTTCCAGCTGCGGGCAGCCTGAAAGCCTCTGAGCGGCCAGGACATCGAGGTGCATTTGCTCAGGAGCACTTCTTCCCAAAGTATTGTTCGCATCGCGTTCAGTGTTGTGCGGCTGCTGATCCCGCCCCCAACCCAATTTAATGATTCTTCAAGAAGTTGTGGCGAGACAATGTTGTGAAAAGTTCAATGAACATGAGGCATGTGTGTAGGGCACCACAAACCACTGCGTACAGGAGCATATTTTCTATGATTGCTTTGTGAAACAGCGGGCCAGTGGGGAGAGCCTTAAAAGCGCTCGTCCAAAAAGGCTGTCAGACCCAAGAACAAAGCAACAGGAAGGTGCTCAGGCCGGAGCAATTGCGAAGTGCTGTAGTGTAGCTGAGAGTTTCCTGGCGCAGTCGGCAGTCCACAGAACCAACGGCGATAATCTGAGATTGTGTCCAGAACTTGCCCCTTGACACGTGAAGACAGCAGAATGCCACAAGCGGTCAATAACAAAACCGTGGGAATGGTCTTGAGTTTTGACACGAGGTGGGGTTCCTGGTCAGACAGATTTTGCGGTCAATTCCAAGAATCCTTCGTATTCGATAGCTTGTTGTGCAAACAAGATCGCCTCCAAATGGCCACCAGACCGTAGCAGCTCCGCGGTTTCTGACAGCCTGTCTCACACCCAACTGTCAAACACCTGGTTCAAACCTGCTTCGACTTAGCCTGGCCTGTCCGTGCTTTGGTTCCTTCACTGTTTGTGCCTGTATAATCCATGGGCCAAGAATAGAAAAGCCGGAAGTCCGCACCTTGTCTGTGGGGCATCTTTTTCACGAAAGCGAGTGCAAAGGGCGCCCTGGCAAACATGCAAACCATGACATCAGGAATGCTCAAGTATAGAAAGTTAATCTTTGTAGGTCCCAAAATGGTCCTTCTTCCCCTGCCTTCGAATACAGGACCTGGGTGGCCGTCTGCATCGGCACGACCTGTCACAGTCGTCAGGCAACTCAGCAGCATAGGCAAAAGCAGGGCCACAACGTGGATGGAAATAAAACAATATGGAGCAGGGCTATCTTGGGCAGGTATATATAGTATTGAAGGAACAAAAGAGCACAATCATATTGGAACATGAAGGCAAGGGAGACGAGCAATGAAAGCTTTTGGGTCAGCGTCGGTGAGAAGAAGGCAACCCCTCCTGCATACCAGCTGTGCATACCAGCTATCTAAGTATGCAATGGTGCTCGACGGTCAGACGGGCTGCGAAGACCCTGCAATCGGGAAAACATAGTTTCAGGCACTTGCCTCGACTTCAGAAGGTCCGACCAGTCACGAAGGATATGTTCCACTCACATGAGGTTGATTGCGCTGAGTGAGGTGACTTGTGCGAAGGCAGCCATGCATCTCAAGAAAAGGGTACCTTTGCCATCTTCAGATTCCACCTACACACTATTCCGAACAGTCGTTGTTTTGAGTTGGGCAACATCACCCCAATCCCAACTAGTGCAACACTTATTCTACCGGGTCATGTCTACCCTTGCGACAGCCTAACATGTTGAAGCTCGCATCTTTCCGTGAAGGCTAAGTCTCACTTCAGGCTAACTCACAGGTGTTTCGAAGTGAAACTTGCATTTAGGGGAGAATATAATTCAAGTAGACGGGCCTGGTGCCAACGAAAATTGGCAGGTCAGTAGACTTTTCCGGGACGGGACAGGCAGCAGTGATGCATGTCAGTTTAGAATAGAGTTCAGACCGTCCGAAGAGGAAAGTCATCGCGTGACAGACACTCAATCGGGAGAAGCGAAGGGAGACTAGGCACTTGCCGAGGCAAGTGCAAAATCTACGCCCAACAGCAACAAAACATGAAGCGAGACGGTAAGAAGTGGGGAGCCAAAACAGGGACATGTCCAGGGATAATTAAGAACCGAAACAGCCAAACCATTTGAAGAAATTGCTGTTTCGACTTTTCATAGGTGGATGTGTCTCGCTGCAAAAACCTTTTGAGCCAATGGCTTGCTCCTAGTAGCGTCCTTGCTCCTAGTAGTAAGGCCAGGAGCCCCTAGTAGCGTTCTTGTTCCTAGTAGCGATGCCCTTTGCTCCTAGTAGCGTCCTCCAATGGCTTGCTCTGCACTCTGTGCTTCGCACCTCGAGTTTCTTCGCCTTTGGCACAGGTGCCTCATCGCCCTGCACCTCGCGGACCCGCAAGGCCAGTGCTGCATGACCACCTGACAGTTCAATGACTTGCAGTCCCTTTATCTGAAGCAGAACATGTCAGTGGAGGTAGCTCGCACACAAACAGTGAAACATAAAGAGTAATGCACACGTCATTGCTCCAATGCACATTTGGCCACAAGGGCTTGGAGTTAAACCAGACAGTAAAGGTCGAAACCGGTTCTCGCTACTTGAGTGGCTTGACATTCTTGCTAGTTGGAGTCCTTTTATCATCAAAGCACAACGTGTCAGACAGTTTGCCAGCCGGTATGCTGGATTTGACCGTGCCAAGTGTGACCTACCTTTCAGCTAGCTCCAAGTAGTGGTTCACTCCACACTGTCCAAAGCACCCTATTCACGGTATATACTGTAACTGCCAACTTCCAACGGCCTTCTAAATTCAAAATTTGCTTTGCTAATGCATGGCAGGTCTTTATGAAGGTCCTTTACAACTTGAGGCCAAGGGGGGGGGGCGAAAGCTAGCGCTCCAGAATGGGAAAGTGGAGGGCAGCGAGGTAGGAAAAAACACGGCGCTCTTTTAGGAGGCAGGGGTGAAGAGTCCTTTATATGTGGCTCTTTGCCCGGATCCTCCTGCGAGAGAAGAGAGAGAAGAGAGACGGAAAGACGAGAGACAGAGAGGAGAGAGAGAGAGAGAGGAGAGAGAGATGAGAGAGATGAGAGAGATGAGAAAGATGAGAAAGAGATGAGAGAGATGAGAGAGATGAGAGAGATGAGAGAGATGAGAG